GTTGTCAACATAGTTGAGGAAACTCCAACTGAGTGTATGGCCTGTTGTGGGCATGAGAAGTTTCAAGCACAAGTAAAGGGTGATTACCCTTGCAAGATCTTGACAATCATTGGTTGATTTTCCTTTTTTTGTTTGTTGAAACATTTTGGTCAAAGACTTGCCATCCAATCTCTTGATTGATTTGCATCTTCGTTTGTAAAATGGAAGCTCAAAATCCTTTGGTCTTGCATGGGATTTGGTGGTGATGTTGTCTTCTCCACAGTTGATACCAAAAATGAGCTTGACATCACTGGTTCTGAGTTTCATTTCCTTTTTGCCAAGTACAAATGATCTTTTTCTTTTGTTGTAGAGTGTTGTCATTTCTGCTACAATGGAATTGTAGCATCTGCACCAAGAGGCCTTCAATTGTGTTGAGGAGAGAGCATTTATAAGGGGCCAAAAAGGGGTTTTTTGCAGCTCTGTCTGTTGGGCTTTTGTGAATTTGACCTCCTTCAACAGTTTGATTACCGTTCCGATGTTGGAACGATAATTAAATTGTTGGGCTCTCTTTGCAGGGACTGCTGCTTTTTTTTCTTTTGATGCCTTGGTTTTTGTTTTGGGAGTTGATTGGCTTTCTTGGAGCTTTCTTTTTTTGGTTGGAGGAGCTTCTTGGTTTTTTGTTGGCTTTCTTTTGTTTGTTTTTGTTGTGGTTGGAGGTGTGCTTGGTGTTTGTTGGGTGGGTGGGGTCTGTGGTGTAGTTCTTGGGCTTTTTCTTGTAGGTGGTGTGGTTGTTTTGTGGGTTTTTTGGTGGGGTCTGTTGGGTTTGGTTGTTTTTGGGTGTGGTGGTTTGGTTTTTTGTGGATGGGGAGATGATGGTGGCATTTTAGTGGATACAGGAGATGGACTTTCCAAAGGGGAGATGGTTAAATCCCTGATTGGATTTGTGGGCATACGGGTTTGTTTCTTCCAATATCTTCCAACAGCTATTTCTGAAAAAATGAAAGTGATAGCAGGGTATGAGTAATATAGTGACAAAACCGTATAATTTTGAAGTTTTATATGCAGTTTAATATGAAGTTATATGTATTTTGTTGGTAACAGTTACGAAACTGTATAATTTGACAGTTTGATTTGCACTTTATAATAAGTTAGCTATTTGTTTTGAGTAGTGGTTAAATTGTGTAATTTTGCAGTTTCATTTGCAGTTTGAATAAATTTAGATATGTTACTTGTATAGTGATAAAATGAAACACTATGATGTTGTAGTTTTTATAAGGAAACAGTATGAACAATAGGAACAGCCCATTGTATTTTGTAAAAAACAACAATAACAACAAGAAGATTAAAAATTCAAAAATAAGAATAAGAGTAGCCAATATTGAACAACAAGAATAAGAATAAGGTGTTGAATGTGTAAAAACAGGGATTTATGTGTAAAAACAGTGTTTAGAATGTTGAAAAACAGGGGACTATATGTAAAAGAGGGTTTATACATTTGGAAGTATGTAAAATGTGTATATACGAAATATGAAAGAATGATGTACAAATGTGAATGAAAAATAATGAATAGGTGAAGAGAGATGTTACTTTTTTTCCCCATTTTTGTGAATCGGAAGTCAGGAACTATGAAATCTCTTCAGAGTGGTGATGGTTCTTCGTGTTGTTGAGAGTCACCGATTGGAGAATATGAACGGCTTGGTGTTGTGTTGAAGATGAACGGTTTGGTTTTGTGGTTAGGGTAGGGTTTCAGAGGGAATGGAGTCGAACGGAGGAGAGATGGAGGATTGAGAATGCGATTTCGAGCGGCGGAGATGTAACAGTGTACTGATCAGACTGAGATGATTGTGGATGATGAAGATGAACGGTTACGTTTTCTGGTTAGGGTTAGGGTTTCAGAGGGGATGGAGTTGAACGGAAGAGAGATTGAGGACTGAGGAGTCGATTTCGAGCGGCGGAGATGTGACAGTGTAGTGATCGGACTGAGATGATGGGGACGTGGGAGATGGTTGCGCGCGTGTAAATTGGATGATATATTGTGGGTATTTTCATCTTATTGTTAATTTGAGGCCTTAATGGAGTATTAAATTTGTTTTGGGTCCAAATGGGTTATGATATGTTGGGCTTGGACCTTTGGGTCAGACGCCCTTCTTCATTTTCTATAATAAAAATAAATCAAACTTTTATATTTTATAAATAGCTATAATTACTAATTAATAAAATTCCATTTTTTAACGCACAAAACATAAAACATAGCATCATTTTCTAGAATGCTAAAAAAAATTAATAAACAAATTGTCATGTTTTAAAATAAATAAAAAGAGACAATTGTCTATGCATTGCTATTTATTTTTTGGGCAAATTACATATACCTCCCTCGAGATTTAGCAAAATTACAGATACCCCCTTGAGATTTGAGAAATTACAGATACCCCCTGAGGTTTATATTTTCATAATAAATTGCCCTCTGAGGTTTATATTTTCATAACAATTTGCCCCCTGAGGTTTATATTTTCATAACAATTTGCCCCCTAATTTGTTATGCAAATAGTACCTTCAGGGGGTATCTGTAATTTCTCAAACCTCAGAGGATATCTGTAATTTTACTAAACCTCGAGGGAGGTATATGTAATTTGCCCTTATTTTTTTGAGTAAAAGTTCATCATCACAAGTCTACCAAACAATGGGTGCTCAGAGATTAGATTGGATTGGGTGCCCTCCTATTCGGCATCCATCTAAATTTAGACAGAATGAATCAACATCCATTTGTTTGAACTATTAAAACTATCCATTTTATGGCTGATCGGTTCAGACTATTTGATTTTGGTGAATGAAGGGATGCTTGCCTAGCCCTTCACACATGAAATATGAGTTTTGGATGAAGTTGATGTTTAGATATAAAGATAATAAACAGCTACTTGACTAACGAATGAGTAACAGTACAACCTATTAGTTATGTAAAAATTGTGGAGTTAATTATAATTTATTCATTACTCAAAGGAAGTCAATATAATTTACCAATATAGTTAAGGATGCAAATTGTCTGCAGTTGTGATATTTAATTGAAGAGCCTTGTTGGGTTTTGTGGACTCACCATAGGATTAACCTTGACTATTCGAACAATTTAGTTTTTAAAGGATTCTAGGAACAAATAAATTAACTAAATAACTGTACGTAGTCATATAATTAAAACATATTTGTTTTTAAAAAAAATAGATTGTAAGTATGATTTTGAACATAGATTGACCATTATTTTGAAGACAAATATTATCTAATCATCTAATTACAATTATCCAATCAATTTTATTTTTTTGCAAGAATGATCTACTAGGAAAATCTTAAAAAATAAACAATTCATATAATTAATGTAAACCTTGTGGTGGGTTCATAGAAACTTAACAACACCTCTAATTGGGATACTCAATTAGAGAAAAGCTCCATCATATAGTTAATATAGAAAACGAATTTTGTGATTGGATGAATTTCATCGTTCTTATCCCCCCACCCATCCCTTATTTTATAAATGTTGGTTGGTTATCTGTTATTGGTTGGTTTCTCACCAACTTGGTGCTGTGCTAGTAAATGATTCAACTTGCTTTGCAGTGCTAATCTAATTAGAATCGTTTAGTTTTGCTTTGATACTCTTTACACTCACCTCCTTTATTGATATATATATATATATATATATTTTAAACTTTTGTCTTGTACAATAATTTTCATCAATAAAAAATATTTTTTTGCTAATAAAAAACATAATTTATGAGTAATACTATAATGACAAATTAATTGACAAATTAGATGGTAAGATCACATAGTGAAAATAAACGATTATTGTAGCATTACTCATTTATACATTTTAATTTTAAAGTATATGCATCCCCTCTCTTAATTATCCCTCAGTGTAAGTTAGCTACGCCATTTCGGAAATCAGGCTCATGTGGTTTTTGATGGATGCAATTAGCATCTAATCCCTGTTTCAAAATGACTTGAAAATTTGACCTACCTATTCTTCTCACAACAGCCATTTTTTACACAATTGAGAAAATGGGAGCATGATTACACTAATTTTGGGGCTTAATCAAATTGTTTGAATGACAGACAAGAAGACACAATCATAGACCATTATTACAACAACCAACAACTTTTTTTCCTTTCCTCAGTGAAAAAGTTTTTCTGCAAGCCAAACTGTGGCAACGTAAGAAGGCGTCACATAGTAAAATATAATTAAACAAACACATTTTTATTCCATTCCGTCAATGTTGAAAAAGTTTGAATGTTTAAACATTTACATCTTTTAAAAAACTCAAATTTTAAATATTTCAACATGTCTCGCCTTGGTATGATATCACCTATATGGGGCAATAGGAATTCATGCACTACACGTTGTGTTTAATTGGAGAATTTGATGAGAGATTTAGAAAGAGAAAGAAAAAATATAAGTAAAATATGAATAAAATATACTTACATTTTATCTAATTTTATACACATTTTTCTCTTTTCCTTTTCAAATTTCCTAATCAAATAAAGCATAATAGGAGACGAAATGCGGAGAAATACAAATAATTACAGGGACCATGCTAAAATATTTAATGATGTTTCACCACCTAATCTGTTTAAAGAACTATTTAATCACCCCCAATAATTGCAATGCTATTTATTCAGAAAAAATACACAGAAGAATTGAAAATCTACAGATTAAATTCATTCCAAGTGTGAATGTGTCATACCAAACAGCACCATACGTTTACATTTTTGACATTTTGTTTTTGGGGATCTATAGCACTATGGTTGGGCTGCATGGTATGTGCAGCAAAACCATGCTTCTACTCCAAGTTGAAGGACCAATAAGCAATCACTGGTTCACACATATATATGTTTCTGAATTAGAAGAAAAATCAATACATATGTCCAATTCATGCATAGGTTTCTTGAATTGAGATTGAGAAAAACATGGTCCATTTAGAGTTTAGAGACATACAAAATATACATGGCAGCAAAATATCTTTTTGAAGGAAAGATTACGCTGTACAAATTATACATTTCCATTAAAAAAAAAGTAGCTTGATTACAATTATTTCTCATATAATTCACCCCATTGATTCAAATAAAAAAAAAGGTCAAACACTATGTAGAGAAAATTTAGTAGTGAAAATAAACTTTGGACAAGACCAAAAAAAAAAAAAAAAATGGAAAAAACATAAGTCACCTTGATTATTATTATTATTATTATTTTGTATGATCATCTCTTCCAACTTCTACTCCTTGAGAATGGATCTCTCATACCACCAACAACCCAAGTTTCCTTTGCAACATCTGATGACAATTTACAGAAATCATTGTCATATCTCATCACCACTGCCAAGCTCTTCCCTTTCTTCTCTTCCTCCATCGCGAACTTTGCTTTCTTTTCTTTTTCCTCTTCTCTCTCTTCATCTTCGTCTTCTTTTTCTTCTCTCTCTTCTATCCAGCTTTTAGCAGGAGCAGACCTACAACGCATGAGCAATAGAGCATTAGGTGGTGGAGCAATAGGCTCTTCCTTAAGAGCTTTGTCTTTGTCTCTCTCTTTACTCTCTTCTTTGGTGATCCTATTGCTTTGCTCTTCTTGTAGAACCATGAACCATTTGGAAAAGACAGTTCTTGAAGTTTCATTGTCAATTCCCACTTCTTCAACCTCATCGTCTTCGTCATCATCAGAAGTGAGACCCGTGGTGGTGGGAAAAGTCCCAAAGCATCGAAAATCAAACCTTATTCTCCGTAAATACGTCAAGAATTGCATTATATCCTTCTTGAATCCTAAAGATTCAACCCAAGTGGCTCTTTTCTTCTGTTTCTTGTTGTTGTGAAGCCTCTCTATCTCTTCCATGACTGACTGCCAATTTTTGCATGAACCAGCTTTAGGTTTAGGCCTGACTTTGATCTGTCCAGCGCAGGTGACTCGTGGGGATGTGGGTTCAGCGATTTCTGAGCCCATTGGCTTGGTTTTAGCCCATAGGAGAGGGCTGGCTTGGCCACCACCACCACCAACTCCAACCCCTCTGAAGCTTGATTTTTTGAGGGGGTTGTGGTGGTGGTGGTTGTGGTTGTGATGGTGGTGGCGTTCAGATGGCCTTGAAGGGCTGCAGATGGGTTTGTTGGGGATTAGTTTAAGGTGGGCTCTTGAAGGAAAACAGACCAAGAGATCTGCTGAAGGAGGACCTTTGCTTTCTCTTCCTTCCATGGTGTGCTTGTTTGTTTTCTCTTTCTTTTTCTTTTCACTTCTGTGTGTGTGTGTGTGTGTATTTGGTTTGGATCTTGTGCTTGCTGTTGTTGAAATGTATGTGTGATCTTTGGGCTTTTGAGGTTTTAGGTCAGCTTTTTAAAAGAAATGAAGGAGGAGGAGGCAGGGCAATGACAACTTTTCTCTCTGTTACTTTTCCTCTTTACCATTTGCTTCTTCATTTATTTATTTATTTTTCCTATACCCCTTCCTGCTTTTGAAATGGCAGCATGAATCTTCTACAGTGATCTTAGAGTAATTTTTTATATAAGTATTGTATTTTTTATTTTTAAATATTTTTTATTTAAGTATGGTAGCATGAATCTTGTATTTTTATTTTTATTTTTATACAAGTATTGTATTTATTTATATAAGTATTGTATTTTTTTTATCTTCTACAGTGATCTTTTGTAATTTTTTTATTTTTTATATAAGTATTTTTTATTTTAATTATTTTATTTTTAAATTTGTAAAATTAAATTTCATTTATTCAAAATATTACTCTAGAATCACTTTAGGAAAAGTCATTCTGAAAAATCCTTACTCTTAAAATGCGATCTCAAGAGACTTCATTTTTTTGGTTCAGTTTTGAAGTATTGACCAGCAACTCATTTTTTAAATTATTAGAGAGAATGACAACTAAATTACTGATAGTCTCAACATACTCTTCCCATGTGGCCAGACTCTTTTTCATAAATTGGTCAAATATGTATAAGTACTTTTAATTTTTAAGTAGGTAGTGAAATTCAAACACATATAATCTATTGTCATTGTATTGAATTGTTGACAGTTATCTCATCTGAAAACTTATATTGTTATTATTGATGTCTCAACACCCAGCAATGCTATGCACTCAAAATTTTAATTAAAAAATATTCAAAATCTATGATGTATAGGTCAAAATTCATTTTACATGGGAATCATGTTTAAATCTTTGCCTCCCATGGTGTGTTTGTATTCTATTTCTTTCTTTCCTTCACTTCTCTCTATCTGTCCTATGTCTTTTTGGTTCAGATCTTGTGCCTTCTTGTTAATGAAATGTAGGTGTGGTCTTTGGGCTTTGAGGTTTGTTTAGGTTAGCTTTCTAAAAGAAATGTAAACAATGCAATGACAGCTTTCTCTCTGTTACTTTGTTCCTCTTTACCATCTGTTTTTTTTTTTTTTTTTTTTTTTTTTTTTTTATTTTTTTAAATCCTCTTTTGTTTTTTCTCTCTCATCTTTTGCCAAACAAAATTAAATTAAAGCAAGGAGGGAAAAGTTGATGTCCATGAGCATTGTTTCATGATCCAATGATAGCCTCGACTTATTGTGAGCCCATGCCAGTTATGCTCTGATGGTATTGCCCCCATACATGTCCACAACTACCAAATCGCCCCTCTTCATAAGGGAGCTGTGGCAGGATCATGTGGCTATATGTTACCATCCAATTTTCTGATTTCCCTCTCAAAACATTCACATTTATTAAATTATGTTTTAAAATTATCACATACCAAAATTTTTAATAATTCAATAATTGTGAATAGTTTGTTATAGAGGCTCATACACATTTAGAAATAGAAGAACTTTGACACTATATGTCTACTTAATGATAGAAGGTACGTTGAATGGGCATGACCACACTGGAATTCTAAAAATGTCTAATAATTTTTGCATCTTCTCTTTAAAGTCTCAGAGTAACGTAAAATTATAAGTGTTTTGATAGTTCATTGGTTTACATAATGTTAGTCATTTTATGACAAGGTTATAGATTAATGTAGGGTGGAGATTCTCGAGTTCATGAGTAGAATGGAAGGAATTGTTAGGATATATGAGGTTTGTTATAGATTTCACTGTGGTGTTTTGAATGATTTTTTTTGGTTAGATCTCGTGTATATATTATTCATTAAAAAATTAGATTAATATGATAATCATAGCCACATAATCTATCATATATATCTTCTAAAAAATGAATGTACTATCTTAAAATTGACTTTTCATTTATTTTTATAAAGATGTATATAATGAAACCATGTTGCTATAATTGTCATATCAATCTATTTTTTTCATAAATAATCTATATATAAAAGGCCACACAAAATAAAAGGTTTAGATTATCATAATGGAACTCATCATGAACTCCATAGACTTAACAACACTGCTAAGTTTGAATGGCAGGAATATTAAGAGAGAATTAAAATGTAATTTTGATTTCTAATAATCCCAGCGTTGGATTGAATTGGATTGGAAAAGTGATTCCTATTTTGCAACTAGAGTAGGAATCATGTTTCCAAATTATGTAGTAATCCGATTCCCCAACCTCCCCATGAGAATCTCATATTCTTAGAGGAATGTCAGTCATTTAGGCTATGTTTGGGTCATAATTTTTTTTTTAACTATTCTCGTTCTCCTTCAAATTTTTTGCCATCCAAACATAATTTCAATGTAATAAGTTCGGTTGAGGCATGACTGCAACGGTTGTTTATGTAATTTTACAATAATGAATATTACATGGTACACACCGAAAGTGTTAGACATTTGAAGGAACTATAGGATTTATCAAAAGAGAGCAATGCCATAATGGAGGGGGAGTGATGCAATTGAGAGCACTTGGAGGGATGGCCCTTAAGCCCCAACGCAACCCACTATTGCATCTTGCTTTAAGATTAGACTTCACTACTTTTCTTTGGGACCCTTCCATGAAGAGTCTCAAATATGTGCTTTGTCCCTCTTGATGATTTACAATTATCTTTTTTTCCAAATTTAAATCTGAATTAGACAGTGTTGTTTAAGTTTGTGAGTTCAATTTGAATTACAAAAATATTGTTTGATTTCTTCTTGTTTAAATCTAAGTTAGGCAGTGTCGTTCAAGTTTGTGGAGCTCATCATGAATTTTATTTTGATGATTCAATCAGTTCATTTTGTTAAATTCTTGAGTATATCATTCATAAAAAGTAATTAGATTAACTAGATGATTTAATCGTATATATTTTTTAAAAATGAAAGATTTGTCTAATTTTAAAAGTAAACCATTTATTTTTTGAAATATTTAATCTTGAAAAAAAATCCAACATGATAAGAACCTTTAAGGGATGTTCAAATCAATGTTTGCAAGTGTCATTGCTTTAAGTACAGCTTGTTACCAATTATTATTAGCAATCACAAGAACGTAAACATGTAAAGTTTAAGCTATCTATGGCTATGCCTAATGTTTGTTTTTTCACGTGGCATGTGTATACTTAATAATACAGCAATGCTCTACCAACATAAATTCTGTGCATAGAAAAACTTTAAAAATTTTAATATCTGATTCAGATTTATTATAAATGTAAATTTCATATCAATAAGAATTAAATCTGAATCATTAATTATTTTTTTGTACATACATTTTTGTACATGTATCTTCATATCTTACTAATCATTGTTTTTGTTTATGATATCGTATATTGATTTGTATAAAACAATAATAATCTATTCAAGTTCAACTTCTCTCTAATTAAAGAGAATGACTTAGATTGATTCACTATAACATTTTCTTAATTTAGTGATATTTGAAAGTGTTACAAAATTATTGATTTAATGACATTTTTTAGTCTTGTGGCATTTTGAACAAGTGCCATTTGTATCCGTGTCACAGTAGATATTAGTGCCATGGTAGATACTTGCAAGTGCCACTACACCATCATGGCTAAAAACTTTCAATGACATTTAGATGTCATGGTAGATATTATTTGTGGCACTATCAAGCGCCATTAAAAAAAGAGTTAGTGACACTTATAAGTGTCATTACACCATCAAGACTAAAACCTTTCAGTGACACTTTAATGTCATGGGAGACACTATTCGTGACGCAATCAAGTGTCATTCGTGACGATAATTCGTTGTAGAACAATTTGATCCGCTCTTGCGGAGACACGAACCGCCGACCTCCTGCACCATAAACTTTACACACCACATTCTTCCCACTGTATCTCTATACCACCACATGATTATATATGCAACATATATTATTTATATAGTACATACATCCATATTAATATAAAAGTATATGTATAAACATAATTATTTTATTGAATATAATTTATGTAAAATAAACTATTTACTAGCAAAATAAAAAAAGACCACTTTTGGCCACTAAAAATATTTTTTAGTCGCCAATTCTATATTTTTGGCTATTAATTATTTTTTAGTTGCTAAAAAACTTAACTTTTGCCGACCAAAATCAGATTTGGTCGCCGAAGATGCACTTTCAGCTACCAATATTTTGGTCGCCAAAAAATTTAATTCCCACCTTAGGATTTTAGCTCTCCCGCGCTAAAAATGACTACTTATGGCGACTAAACTTACTTTTTAGTCGCCAATTGTAGACTTTTGGCTACTAAAATTTTTTTTGGCACCAAAAAGCTTTACTTTTGGCTACTAAACTTTTTTTAGTATGTAAAACCCATATAATCAGCGACCAAACTTATTTTTAGTTGCCAATTGTAGACTTTTGGCTACTAAATTTTTTTAGTCGCCAAAAGCCTTTACTTTAGGCTACTAAAAATTTTTTAGTCACTAAAACGCATATAATCAGCGACCAAACTTAGTTTTAATCGCCAATTGTAAACTTTTGGCTACTAAAATTGTTTAGTCGCCAAAAAGCTTTACTTTTGGCAACTAATGCTGTTTTGGTCGCTGAAAGCTATACTTTCAGCGACCAAATTAGGGTGGTCAGGAAATTTAGTCGCCGAATGTGCTTTTTCCTGTAGTGTATTGAGTTTAATTTATTTATTTTTAATCATTTACTACATTTTAAAAATTTAAAAAATATATTGGCATTTTTTGTTTTTTCAAAAATGCTATTATAAGCTTGGAAAGTTTTTGGCTTCGTGGCATTTTTCAAAATACTATAAAATATTTGTTTATGACACTTTTCACCTAAGTGCCATAAAAAGTAATTTGCACCTACCTAGTGTCATGATATTTTTTAAAAAATATCATTGTGACTAAAGTTTAGTGAAATCTATTTGTAAATGTTATGAACATAATTTTGTGTGATTATTTTATAAAATGCCATAAAATTGATGTGACATTTCTCTATTGAAATGTCACTAGAGCCTTATATGTTTGTGGTTCTGTGGCATTTTTCTAAAACATTTAATGTCAATTTTTATTTTTGTGGCATTTTCTAA